ACGGTGCGCGCCGTGAAGGGCAGGAGGCTCATCCCCACGAGGGCGGCGCTCGTCCTGGTACGTGTTGCAGGGGGAATTAAGGCGGAGGAACCTGTGACTTGAAAACAAAAACAAAAAAACATGGGGCGAAGGTTGAAAGAGGAGGGAGAGAGAGGGGAAGAAGGGGACTCTCCGCTCAAGAGGGATTTTTCACTTCCTCTTCCTCTTCCTCAGGAAGGTCACGCTAGGTCTGGTCAGGTCGTCAGGCCAAAGGGGCTTTATAGCATGGCTAGGGGTTTGACTTGTGCTTTTGTATGTGGTGTTTTTTTTTGTGATACTATAAATTATGCAACATGAAACTTCTAGATGTCACCTATAACTGAATCCGTGATTTATGTAATTAAAAAAAAAAAAAAATTCCTGGCATAATGCTGGTCCTCTGTTGCTCATACAGATTCAAGTTTGAGGATATTTAGTAATTTTTGCTTTACATAAGTTCTACATCGTCAGTAAATCCTGGGATAAATTTTTACAACAGCATAAATTTCTCTGCTAAAATTTATGATTTTTGTTCTTGTCTGATGTTGAAAGAATGAATCCAATGCCAGTTTTCTATGCAAACTTCTCATTTCTGAGCAACCAGTCTCGTGTCCCCACAGAGTAGGCCTCAGATACCTGTGGCAAATAAGGGTTTTGGGTGCATGAAGGTAGTTTAGTTAATGTTGCCGAGAGCGATGCACGGAGATAGAGCAAAATGGGCACTGACATCTTGTAGAGCATAAAAAATAGAGTAGGAATCAATACAAATAAATCTGCAGTGGCCTCATATTTACTGGGAAATGACAAAAGAGGCTCTATATGGCACTGCTCTGAGGCTAACTCCCGATTCATGTTTTCCTCATGAGGACCAAAGAGGACCAAAACGAGTGTGACGCGTAACTCATTACTGCGATCTATCAAGTATTCCATGTATTGGTAGTGCTTCGGGTTTGTGAGAAAGATTATTTTGTAATTACCAGTGTCTGTTTTTCCAAATTCAAGCATTCAATGAATTCTTTTTCTTTTATTATACAGATAGTCCCCTACTTAAGAACATTCTACTTATGAACATTCCATACATACAAACAAAATTTTTAAAGTACTAAAGTCCAAAAAATTGTTTGAAAGATGCTAGCAAACTTCAAATTTCCCGGGCGCGAATATAGTTCAAGAGTCTGGTACTGTATAAGGTATGTCGTACTTATTGGGATTTATTTACAGGTATTCTTAATGTAAACAAAACTTTAAAACAATGGGAAAAAAGGTAATGGAGACCCAACTTTCGACATACAAACAAATCAACTTACAAACAGCCTCTCGGTCCTCATTATGTTCTTAAGTTGGGGACTTACTGTACTTCTTTTACATGTTTTGGTAATCATTTACACTATTTTGTACAATAACCTTATGCACAGGTATGTTTTTTCCACTGGGAGATTTGACACACCATTTGTTCAGAAACACCAGTGAGAAATGTTACATTTTAAGTGTGTTGCATTCATTCCGGGTCATTTTTAAATCCATTTAGTGGATAAATAGAACAAATAGACATTAGTACCTATCCTCAGCCTGATATTTGAGCCCAAGGTTAATGTTACCGAGAGCGATGCACACAGATAGAGCAAATTGGACATTGCCATCTTGTAGAGCATCAAAAATAGAGTAGGAATCAATACATCTAAATCTGCAGCGGCCTCATATTTACCGGGAAATGACAGAAATAGGCTTTGCATGGCACCGCTCTGAGACTAAGTCCCCATCCATGTTTACCTTGCCAGGACCAAAGCAAATGTGACGCGTAACTCATTGGTGCGATCTATCAGGTAGTCCATGTATTACTACACAATTGTGAAAACGACTATTTTGTAATTACCAGTGTCTGTTTTTCCGAATCCATGCATTTAATGAATTCTTTTACTTTTATTATACTTCTTTTACGTGTTTTGGTAATTATTTACACTATTTTGCACAATATCCCTGTGCGCATGTGTGTTTTTCCACCGGGAGATTTGACAGTCCGTCCACCGTCATTCGTCCCGAAACACCGGTGGGAAGTGTCACATTTTAGGTGTGTTGCGTCGATTCCGGGTCGTTTTTAAAGCCATATAGTGGGTATATAGAACCAATAGATATTAGTGTCTATCTCAGCCTGATACATGAGCTCAATAAGTGCCCCAGATGTCGAAAAAAGTGATTAGAAACCAAGGAATTCGGACCATAGACGGAAGCCAAGAAAAGTTCGGTCTTTCGCTAAATAAAGGTATGTGGTTTTACCCTGGGGGTTCAGAGGGCAGAGCCCCTTGGCTAGGGAATATATAGATCGTATTTTATTAAAACCACAGGGTGCCAGAAAAATGTTACACAGCATTATGACAAAGGATTGTGGCAAAAAGGGTAAAAATTAATTAACAGTTAAGATAACTGAAGAAGGAAAAGGAAGGTAGGATAAGAAAGGACCATGCAAAATTAGTTGCGGAGAGGGCTGAGGTCCTAGGTAGGGGTGATCCCCTACCTTGGGCTTCAATCTTTGCCTTCTAAGCCGCCCTTTGGCAACTGTGAGCTGTCTCTCTCTTTCTTGGTCTCATTCTCTCTCTGTCTTTTGTTCTCATTTTCTGTCTCTCTCTTTCTCGTTCTCATTCTCTCTCTTTCTCTCTTGTTCTCATTCTCTCTCTGTCTCTTGTTCTCATTTTCTGTCTCTCTCTTTCTCGTTCTCATTCTCTGTGTCTCTTTTTCTCATTCTCATTCTCTCTCTGTGTCTATGTATCTCTCTCTCTCTCTCTCTCTCTCTCTCTCTCTCTCTCTCTCTCTCTCTCTCTCTCTCTCTATATATATATATATATATATATATATATATATATATATATATATATTTATATATTTATATATATATTTATATTTATATATTTATATAGATAGATAGATAGATAGATATATAGAGATATATAGAGATAAATAGCATGCATATAGATACACAAACACACTCGGGCACAGGCAAACTAAAGTGCTCAGTGTTTTGTTACTAATCCAAAGCTTGAAAGTGTTTTGCTAGTTACACCAACAGTAGTTCATTTTACAAGTATGCAGTGATATACATGTGTGGCACTAGAGAAACTAGCAAAAGACTGGTTTTCAGTATTTTGTAGAAGAAAAGTGGCAGGGATTTTTGTTTCTCATAGGGAGACTTTGGCTGCATTATGTTAGTAATATCATGAGAGAGTATATATGTTTACATTTCAATTTCTAAATGTATGTACTTTGAGTGCATGAGTAGGGGACATCAGCCCGAATCACTGGCTCGCCGCCGCACGCCAGCTTTCAAGTGGTTTGTGTGCACGCTGATCGGCGTCACCCGGCACCAAGGGGTTAACAGAACAAGTACATATTTTAAAGTATCACTGATGTACTGTTGGAAAAGCAAATATTTCTTGAAGTAAATTTTATACTGAGGGAGTACCACTGTTGCTTAATCAACTTATACAACAAAAAATGGTCAGCTTTGTTGTGTTTTATCATGATGTCGTAAAGCTTTCTTGCTTGCCAATAGTAATAGAGATTATTACCTTTTTTCTGTTTATTATTTTTATTTTTACAGACCCAAACTGCTGTTCACAAGGTTAGAGAGCTACTGGACAGAAATCCAGAAGCTGTAAGTATAAATGATCACCATTATTTTCAGTTCGGGCTTGTCCTTTGCAAAACATTTATTATGCCTTTTATTAATCCTAAAGCTTTGTAATGGAAACTTTTTAGAGTTAATGTCATAAATCTATTTATGTTTGTTATTTTCTCCATAGATCTTTTGCATGCACAAATAAGGACAATTATGGCTTAGAAATCAAAAACTTCAGGTTTTAATGGAGGATGTTTGAAAGTTTTTTGGTTTACATTTGCACTATTTTTTTCCACCATATTTTGTGGTTTTAAATTATAATTGTAGAATTTTTCTGCTGATTCCTTTACAAAAATATTCCTATGATCCTCTTCCTTCTGAGCAGGTGGGTCTGAAGGTTGGTGTGCGACAGAGAGGCTGTAATGGGCTGAGCTACACATTGGACTATGCCAAAGAAAAGGGAAAATTTGACGAGGAAGTTGTTCAAGATGGTTAGTATAAGTGGGCATTTGATATATAGCAGAATTTTTCAGTCTTCATAATTAATTAATATTACTGAAAGCAAAGCTTGAATATTAATTGTTTTACCTTTATAAAATAAACCTGTTTTACTTAAATTAGTATTGATATGCATGGATAAGAAATTCCCGGTTCAAACTGCCTCAAACTTTTCTTTCCAGGAGTGCGAGTCATCATTGACAAGAAAGCGCAGCTGACCTTATTAGGGACGGAAATGGACTATGTACAAAACAAATTGTCATCTGAATTTGTTTTTAACAATCCCAATATTAAAGGAACTTGTGGGTGTGGTGAAAGTTTTTCCATTTAGTAAAGTTAGTGTGATTACATTAATAAACGCAAGTGTAGGAAATATATAGTGAAAATTATTTTTTTCTTTAACAAATCTCTAATGTTCATCTGTGTTTTAAACTGGTTTTGTCCAGTATATAACCCAACAAAGGCCAGAGGCCTTATGTCTACCTAATGCTTTGACATTTGTATGTTGTGTACATTATGATGTAAATCATCCTTGTATAATAATACAGAACTCAGATATAGGCAACAATCATTTGATCATTGTATATTGCAGTGTGAAGTACTTGCAATTTTGAGTTTTATCTGGATATGCTCGTCTTTGTCATTGAATAGCTATGGTCAAGTGATTTTTTTTTTTTTTTTTTGTATAAAAGAAAAAAAAATGTATTTATGTTTCTTTATTTGTAAATGTGTAAATAATATTAGAAAGTAAAAAGTAATATATTACACCTCTTTCAATTCTATAAAACTTAGATATTATTTAAAGAATGTGACATAGATAACTGACTTTTTATTTTTATATACTATGTGCCACACTAATACCATGCTGTCTTAGGCAGTGCCAAGATTTTTTTGTTCTAAGTTCTTTCCAGACTAGAAACTAGATTATAAATAAAATTTGGCACCTGTTATGTATAATAAACATTTCTAGATGCTGACCCCATCTTAACTTGTACCTTTGAAATATATTTATGCAAACACAAAATAGTAGTATTTTAAAGCACATCATATGTCATTCAAATATAACACTGAGACTTAAGTGTAATCTTCTTGCAAGCCATATTTTCCAAGAAACTTTTTTGTTGCCATGGAAAAGTTATTTTCAGTGTCTGGATTCTTAATTTGCTGGAATGGAGGTCTCAGTGCCTTGGTCTCCCTCGCAGCTCTTGTTCTTCCCGTCATGGCTGGAAAGAAAGTCATCAAAATCTATTAAAACAGTCACGTAGCCTACCTGCTGATAATTTTTTTTTCTCATGATTTCTTCCCAGGATTACCAACAAAACCTAATATAACAAGGGGGAGGGGGGGTGTAATATTAAGGATATGAATGCACAAAATTATTGCAAGAGAGAGAGATAAGTATCAGATTAAAAATTCTCCAGTATAGGCTAACATAAAGAAGGTAATAGACATTTTACTTATATATGAAAGAACAGGGAAGCAATATTCTGATCACAAATTTATAAAACCAGAACTTGTATTAGTAAATATGTCAAAGAATAATTTTCTTACATTTTATGTGGAGAAAATTACCTACCTATTTCATGTGACACAAAAAAACTTATTTATTTACTTGTTTTCTTTTGACAAAGTAATTTATATGACTGGGGAAAAAACAGCTAACAATAGTGGAAAAATGGACAGTCAGTCATCCTTTGCAAGCAGATGTGTTTTCATCTACTTGTGTACATTGCCAATCTATAATTGTAAATAAACCAATGAGTGCTGTCTTACCAGGAGATGCTGCAGCAATGGCAGCTAGTTGTGCATCTGATAGGTACTTTGCAGCTGTGGCATCAGTCTCCTGGTATGGTACTGTCCCTGAGGTGGGGATGGAGTTTTGGTACATGGACAGCATGTTATGGAGTCCTGGCAGGTACATGGTATCTAGTACTGGTCTGAAAAGAGGGGATATTTTGGTATGGCATGGAAGAAAGAGAAAATGCAAGTATGATGAGCACAATCACCTTCGTATTACCGTACAGTTTAGAGTAAAATTAATCATTATATTTATTTTTTTATCAAGTCATTTTTGTAAAAAGTAAAATATTTTCTATAATTACTTAACCCATTCGCGCCAGGCGTCACGTATACGTGACGGGCCCACTGTGAGTTTACTTGTTTGATTGTTTACAAACATAGATGGCTCCACTTGCACTTGTACTACCTGTCTCGTCTGTTTACCCTTTTCTTTAATTTACAAAATTATTTTGTGTCCTCTTATATTGCTGTTACTAATGTTTATAACATTATAGTAATTATAATGTTTATAATAAAAATAACCATCGATATTCATAGCACTAGTAAAAATACATTTTCCCACCAAATGAAATCTGGTAAAGCAGAGCCATCTAGTATAGAGAAATTTCATAAAAAAAATATAAAAAATGAGCACAGCATTTCCCCCATTTTTTGTTCATTTTTACCCAGCGCGAATGGGTTAAAAAAAAGAAAAAAAAAAAAAAGAAAAAAGAAAAAAGAAAGAAAGAAAGAAAAAGAAAGAAAGAAGGAAAAAAAAGAAAGAAAGAAAGAAAGAAAAAAGCTAACTTCCTTTGCTACTCTTTTCATTCCTAATTTTCCTGGAAGTTTCTATGGTTTATAAAAGAAGGATAAACTCGACAAAGATTTGAATGTAAAACAGGAGAAATTTGCAGTTTATAAATAGGTTAACCTCATTAACTTTCAAAATACCTGTAACATTGCATTTTTGCTGAAATGGGAAAACTTGTTTATGAAAATGCAGAAATGCAGAAATTTATGCAGTTATTAAGAATGATCTGAATTAGTGAAGAATCTGGCTTGACAAAAACTAGATGAAAGAGGCAAGAATAAGTGTGTCATTACATCTGAAGAATTTAAAACTTTAACTAAGAACAGTGTCTGTATTATCTTTCTGAAAAAAATATACATTTTGAATTAATGAAAGATTGTCTTCTTATGTACAAGATGGCAACCATATTGTAGTAAAATATGAAACCACCATGATGAAGGAAAAATATTACGAAAGTATTAGGAAAGTGTGATGTATTGTAAATTTTCTTCAATACCTGCTGTTTGAAGCCAGCGTTGCAGGATCAATAAAACTAATACCGAACTGCATTAACTGTTTCCTGACAGCTTCCATCTGGGGGTCAATTACTGTTGTTTCCTGTTGATCAGTGGCACAGTTCGACTCCTGAAAAAAGAAAAACCTCTTCACTGTCTCATTCAAAGGTTCACTGAAATGATCTTTCATCTCAATGCTGACAGCTGTTTTATGCACCTTGCACTTAAAGCCTACTCTTAAGGGTCCGTGTCACTTAAATGACTGAACAATTGTTTAGTGCTCACACTATGGAAGAGGGATGACATGGCCTAGCATGGCACCTGTCGACAATAGTATTAATGCAATGGCAAAAATGCTTATTTAACCAACTCCAGGCACATAAATCTGAGACTCATACCCTCTGTCTCTGGTGACTGGCAGCATCCTCACTTCTTTCATCTTCCTCTGCAGCCTTAGAGTTTTGCAAAATATGCTGAATATTTGTCTGGAAGATATAAATAGAAATAATAATTATAATAATAAGAGAGGGAGTCAGCAGGTAGCTTTTTATAAAACACACACACAACAACAACAACAAAAAGATGCTTAAAAGGTATGGCAAATACATTTCATATCATTGCAGATATCATACATGGAGAGTTTGTTTGAAACTGATTATGTATATTCCAAATGTTTAGTGTAAAACAGTAACAGATTAATTAAGAGAGTATAGTCAAAATACAAATCTAAATGTCTGTATACCATCTGGGAATACGGCCCAAGCACAATTATCACCATAACATACAATCTAAATGTCTGATGCATGTATAAATGGACAAAGATCTTAACCCACTGGAGTGGTGTGACAAGGTGGGTGAAATTTTCAATATTCTGACCATTTTCTAAGCATAATACTAGATGTATTTTCAAAACTATTAAAACCAAATACAGAAGATAGATCTTCAACAAAAGTCCTCTTCAATGAATGTAATGCTTGACTTGAGTGGAAGAAAAGCCCCAAAGACCTCAGGAAAGGAAAAAGAAAAATGAGGAATCTTAACCTCTTATAACCGTCACTCGTCACTGACTTAAATTGAGTTGAGCCAAAAGGCTAAACAGTTCTCAGAAGTCACCAGAATGAATGGCACAAAAATTTTTGGTACCATCATTGTAGGATTAAGTGAATGCTGCCCAAGCTAATAAACAAGCAAAAATAACGACTTTTGTGAGGGGGGGAAAACGTACCATGACATTGTTATAAAAAGTCACCCCTGTTCCTTTAGCTTGTGCACTTTCCTGATGCTGAGGACTATCATGGGCTGTTGGACTGCACATACTTGCACTCTCACCCAAGACAGGAGAACCTTCCCATTCTACTCTTTTCTTTTGATTTCTGAAACAAATGTTCATCACCATTAGTATTACAATTCTTAAGTAATAACTGTAATAAACCTTAAAAAATATTATATGCATGACAAAACTTGTGAATAATGATAGACAAAAATCTTATTTTGGATAATTTGGCAGACTTAAAAATACCATGTGTTCAATAGTCCCTAGAGCTTGATACAGACCTCATACCACTGCGAGCCTCCTCGTGCCTACTGCCATCATGGTACTCTGTCATACTAATGTGGACTGAAGGATCTGGACTGGGAGGGTCTTCCTCAATAGTTTTCATGACAACTTCTTGCATTGTCAGGGACATTTCCTTGTGCACTGTCCAATTTGTTGCTTGTCTTGAGGAAGAATCCCTTCTGTTTAATGAGTTTTGCTTATAATTATCTCTAATGATGTCTGCTTGTCTTTCTATATTTTTGTTGCCTGTCTGAAGAAGTTTCACAGCCTCTCTAGGCTCAAATTTTGCATCTTGCTTAGGGCCTCTTTCAACTGCATTCTCAGATGGCAGAACAGAAGCAATCAAATCTGTCCATGAAATTTCGGTATTAGTTCCTACTGACTTAGATTCACATTTATCAGGCTCTGTCTGACTGCAAGTATCTTTCAATATCTGTTTCTGATTCACTTGCTGGTTGGCACTGGTGGCCATTACTATTTCTCTCAATAAATCTCTGACTTCCTTGTTCCTCTGAGCTTCATTTTGTTCCTGCTTCTCTAATAACTTTTCTAGAGAACTTTGTAGCCTGAAAATATGCTCATTCTGTTTCTCAATCAAGCGATAAACATTCGGGTCACACCACGCATTTGATTGGCCAGAAATATGATCCGACTGATGAGTGATTTCATGCTCACTAAGCGGGCGATGAGAAGACGGACCTCCCTGGGATATTAATGTGCTATTATATTGACTTGAAGGGGGTGTATTCAAGCCCTTTCTGTAAGACTGAGCAAAGTTACTAGGCTCTGTTGTTTTGCCTTCACTAATAGCTGGAGAGTAAGGCTTAACATTTTCCTTTTCATATCCATATGTTTGTAGACATCTCTGATGCTGTTCCATCCGTTTTGAGTGAAGTGGTGTTTCTTCATCACTCATCACAGGATTTTCATAAAAATGGACTGATTTTGTTGTTACTTGTGATGGCCAAGAGTTCTTACTCAACATGACTGAATCTTCATAAGATGGAGAACTGACTGTGTTCTGTGTCTGCACTCTTGTAACAGGTACTGTATTTCTTGTAATCAGTGGAGAAATCTCCCTTACTGGAGGGGAAGAGCTGTGACCCACCTCCTTGTTCACTCCATTTTTCTGAGATGGGCTGTAAATCAGGGGGTTGTAATGCTTGTCACTTATAACTGGATTTTTAAGTACTGGTGATCCACTGGGTTCTCTCTGAAACTGGCCTTCTGTCTTGCTCTGCAATGGCAATTTTGGTCTTACATAATTTTCATCTCCCTTATGCTTAAAATGTGTTGTAGACTGAGAGCCTTGAATTTCCCTTAAAGGTGCAGCAACGAAAGCTTCCTTCCCTGGATTATTAACTGCTGAGATCACTGGTACTCTCTGATTTGCTACTGTGCTGCCTACTTTGGAGAATGGTACATCCTTTTTTTGTTGCAGGCTAGCTGGGAGGTTGGATTTTGGTTGTTGCCAAATAAGGCTGTCCTCGCTATCAAACATCAGTGAAACTTCTGGTACTACTGGTCTGGGTGCATTATACTGCTGTAAAAGACAAGGTGGTTGACATTAATTGTACTATCTTTTCTAGTTCAAGAAATTATACCTATTTTCAATATAAAAGATATATAAGTTTGAAGAAGAAGAAGGAAAAAAAAAACTGTAGGTGTAACATTAACCATTTCATTGAAGTGCAAGTTGTGAAATGTTATAGTCTGTGTCAGAATTGTTACAAACTGTATCACTACACTTCAGGAGTACATGCTTCTTATGCTTGGTTCCACAATCTATCTTTTTTCATCAAAGATACAATTAATTTATCGGTCACTTTACTTCTATGATTATCCTACTGCATTTGGTTAATTTTCATAAAGATATCAATAACATATCTAACAATCCAAATCCTTGATAGGTTGCCTTTCTAAATCCATTTACCAAGGATAATAATACAATTTACAGAATACCAATGAGGATAACTAAATTTCTCAACCAGATTAGAAAGACAAAACACCCAAACAAAAGGCCTACAGAGGCTCCTGCAAATTTACCATGTCATGTTCAATGTGTTCAACACTGGTTTTGCTTCACCTTCATCTATTCTGATTTGGACTGTGTTCTCTTGATAGAGTAAACCTTCCAGCTTAATAAATGACATTCCAAAACACTATCAAAAAGATAGTTATGCAAATGCTATTCTATCATGGCATGTATATAATGCTAAAATACCTACTGGCAACACAGATGGCCTGGGAGGTGGAGCTCGTCTTGGGGCGGCATCGTCATCCATCATTGTTGGGCATAAAACTTCTTCCCTGGAAACAAATCAATACCTATAAATTGTACAATATCTGGAAACAAGTGAATAAATCCAGAAAGCCTATGAAATATATCCTTTTAACAACTTTTTTCTATTAATATCTTTTTGCTATGGAAAATGTCACTGGTGAAGCACTGCTGACAGATATCATAGACAAAAGGAATTCATCTTCAGGTCTGCATGTGTCAAGATGAAATCCAAGAGGATTTTGAAACTGTGGTATACCTTTCAGTAGACCTTACTTAGGTAGACTACTTTGGTTGCCCCCTCCCCCCCTAGCATGATATTCTTTATAAACACTCAAGTATATGAAGTATATGTAACAAAGTATTTGGAGAGTAGACTAATTCTAATTTGGACAATTACTGTGGACATTAAAAGAAAAAACACTGCCAGCAAAGAATTATATGTGCACATTAAACTCCACAACAAAACACAAGATTCAGAAGTCTGCTTGTAAATTAATCTGTTTGGACTGATGCTGGTGTTTGTTTTATGTGCAATCCTTGGACTTTACCATGTGCACAGCATCCACTGTTGCCTCTGTGCCTTTTAGGACTACACTGTCAACCCTTTGTTCGTGAGTTGCATCTACTATGATGCCATGGTGGCGTAGTTCCGATGCTGTGGGTGGCATCCCTACAGATACGGCCCAATTGGATATAACTGTTTAGCGGACTGCACAGCCGTCGAAAAAGCCTGTGTACATTGAGTTAAGGTAAGCAAACATCCTCTACCTATGTTTTGGCAGCTCAGAGCTTGGATTGGTTCTTTACTTGATGATAAATCTCCTGGGTATATTGTCAATAATATCTCACATTGCCATTATATATCCTATACAACACACAGTCACAAATGTATTCAGTATAAGAACTGGGTCTGAACTGCCTTGAACTGCAGAGCCCCTATCAACCCTCACCGAAGGGTATGACCAGTCAGTTTGTGTCGTGGAGTTGGAGATTTAGTCTCTGGTGAGTGGGTCAGTACTGTAAAGAATTATCATTACATGTTGCACAACTTCCTTATTATTACCTTGCAGAGGATATACCAGAGATGAAAAGTCTTATTTTGTGCCATTCTGTTCATTACCTTATACACGTGACTATATGAAACTGAAAACTATACCCTGCATTTTATTTTCTATATGAAATTTTCCATTTATGCAGAAGACATACATAAAAAGTGGGTCATACATATCTCAGGCTACTAATTCAATATCCTGCAACTCACGAGTCACACTGTCATACACTGAAATAGTACTAAATCCTTAGGTTAGAATAAAAAGAAGAAGAAAAATATACAGGTACAATATCTGAGATTTTTTTTCCACGCCAATGGACACAGAATAAAATAATGACCAAAAGCGCGTATACTTCTAAACATCAACCCTGAGAAGCAACACACTGGCAAAACACGAGCCACACACATAATGAAGGGAAAGACTCACTTCAGAAATAATAGGAGGTCTTCTTTCATCCTCCATCTATTAGATTACGTACGATTGATGTCTATATTCCACAGAACTTTTTTGTTTTTTATAGTTTCTTTGATGATGTCAATTCCATTCAAACTTTGGGTGGAATATCTTCATGTCAATATATCCTACTTCACACCTTGCATAACTAAAAATACAAAATAAAACAAACACCCAGGAGTTGTTTCCTCCCCCTAAACAACAACTTACGCATTAACTTGTGAATTAGACGCAAAAAAGAAGATTAATGTCGTCCGTCAGCTGAGCCTCAAGTCGGACCGTTTGAAAAGTGTAAACAATTCGTCCGATTTCATTGCTCTGGCTTTGCGTACGTAAGCAACCTCCAATGAAGGTGGTCAATTTCTAAATGAATGTCATGCAGTGTTATGAATAGACACGTAATTTTGTGCAAATGTATGGGTGAAATTACGTATTATTGCTAGCGCAATTATCTTCTTGGAATTTATGCTTTGAAGAGGGGATGTGGTGTTCGTAAGTGATGTCAGGGCTTCGTTACAAGTAAGAGAGATTTCAGTATATTAAAATGTTATTATCATTATAATCAATATTATCTTTGTCATTATTATTATTATTATTATCATGATTATTATTATTGTTGTTATTATTATTATTATTATTATTATTATTATTACTATTATTATTATTATCATTATTATTATTATCATCATCATTATTATTATTATTATTATTATCATCATTACTATTATCATTATTATCATTATCATTATTATCATTATTATTGTTATTATTATTATTATTATTATTATTATTATTATTATTATTATTATTATTATCCTTATTGATGTTATTATTGTTGTTATTGTTATTATTGTGATTAGTATTTTCATTATTATTATCATTATCATTAATATCATTATTACTATTATTATCCTTATTATTATAATAATTATTATCATTATCATTATTGTTGTTATTATTATTATTATTATTATTATCATTATCATTATCATTATTATTATTGTTATTATTATCATTATTGATTTTATTATTGTTGTTATTGTTATTATTGCGATTACTATTTTCATTATTATTATCATTATTATTAATATCATTATTACTATTATTATCATTATTATTATCATTATTATTATCATTATCATTATTGTTGTTGTTATTATTATTATTATTATTATTATTATTATCTTTTTTTAGTATTATGATTATTGTTACTATCATTATTATTAATTCTATTATTATTATTATTATTATTATTATTATTATTATTATTATTATTATTGTTATTACTATTATTATTATTATTATTATTATTATTATTATTATTATTATTATTATTATTACTATAATAATAATAATAATAATAATAATAATAATAATAATAATAATTATTATTATTATTATCATTATCATTATTATTATCATTATTACTATTATCATATCATTATCATCATTATCAATATCACTAATATTATCATTGCTATTTTGTTATTTTATTATCATCATTATTATTATTACCATTACCATTATCATTATCATTATTATTTTCATTGTTATTAATATTGTTACTAGCCTTATCATTATTATTATTATCATCATTAATATTATTGTATTATTATTATCCTTATTACTATCATTATTATCATCTTCATCATTATCACTATCACATCATCATTAACAAAAAGGTTAATGATATGGGAACAAAAGCAACAGTAGTTTAATAAATGAATATGAACTAACTGTTACTAAGAACAAATTGACTTTTGGCTCTAACTTTATATTGCTTTCTTGCATTGTCAGTGGTGTTATCATAACAGTTCATAGCAGTTCTACTTATCATTACCACCATAATTACAATCATACAATACTATCCTTATTACTATAATGTTGGCTTGGAATTATTTTTTTTCAGTCATGTATTTGGGTTTTTGCATGTCGCATGTCAACGTCAAATATTCATTAGTTTACCATGAAATATTTCAAAGAAAATGAACTTAATTTAATTAACAAAAACCGTATCTATTTGAAGGGGTGTCTATTCTTTATGGTCCATTACTGATTCTAATGAACTTTATAAAACTAGAATTGCAAGTCATTATTTACCACTTAAAAAAAACTTTAGAAATATCACCCGACAACTCTTTATAAATGAAATATATGAAAAGTATATTGAACTCAATAATAGATAATAACAAGATGAATTATATTATTTAGAATTATAATTGCTTTATATAGTAATTCTATATAATGACTGCTTTGTATAATAATTGCATTAGCACTGTTTTTTTCTCGAAATACATTAGTTGTTAGTATTCTCATTGCCAGGGCCGGATTATGACCTTTTGAGGCCCCTTGGCAAATGAAATTATTTTAGCGACATTTACATAGCTTGAAGTAAACTTATTGCAAATTCTTTAAATAAACTAGTATAGCTATCTTTTGTTTGTCAATAAAGATATTCTTTAAATACCACTATTTTATTATATTTCAACACAACCGTAGTAAAAAAAAAAAAAGCAGATTTTTTATAACCAAGCCCTAGGCTGCGACCTATACTAGCCTATAGGATAATGCGGCCCCGCTCATTGCCATCATGATTATAATTATATATATATATATGTATATATATATATATATATATATATATATATATATATATATATATATATATATATATATATATATATATATATTTCTATAGCTTTTGCTATCATTATATTTTTTTTTCAATACTACACTTCACGACAAGAGCTTTAACTCAATGTTCTTATCATATCTCATTCGACCTCAACAAAACAAACCTTTCTTCTATGGCAATAGAGAGGCACGTCTACCAATTGCTATCCGGAAAAGTTTATGGTTAAGTTAGACTAGGTTGTGTTAAGTTTGGGTTTTGTGAGCTTGTGCTTGGTCAGGTCGGGTTGGGATGGATGGAATTATACTTAAGTTAGGTTGGCTTGGCTTGGGTTAGGATAGGATAGGACAGGGTAGGATAGGATAGGATAGGATAGGATAGGATAGGGTAGCATAAGATAGAATAGGATAGGATAGAAATGGTGAGGCTATGTTTGGCTAGGTTAGGATGGGTTTGGCTAGGTTAAGCTAGGTTAAGTTAGGTTAAGTTGGGTTGGGTTGAGTTAGCTTAGGTTAGGTTAGTTTAGGTTACGTTAGACTAGGTTAGGTTAGGTTAAGTTAGACTAGATTAGGTTAGGTTAGGTTGGGCTGGGTTGGGTTGGGTTGGGTTGGGTTGGGTTGGGTTAGGCTAGGTTAGGTTAAGTTGGGCTGGGTTGGGTTGGGTTGGGTTAGGTTAGGTTAGGTTAGGTTGGGCTGGGTTGGGTTGGGTTGGGTTGGGTTGGGTTAGGCTAGGTTAGGTTAAGTTGGGTTGGGTTGGGTTGGGTTGGGTTAGGTTAGGTTAGGTTAGGTTGGGCTGGGTTGGGTTGGATTAGGGTAGGTTAGGTTAGGTTGGGCTGGGTTGGGTTGGATTAGGGTAGGTTAGGTTAGGTTGGGCTGGGTTGGGTTGGATTAGGCTAGGTTAGGTTAGGTTGGGCTGGGTTAGGTTAGGTTAGGTTAGGTTATGTTATGTTGGGCTGGGTTGGGTTGGGTTGGGTTGGATTAGGCTAGGTTAGGTTAGGTTAGGTTGGGCTGGGTTGGGTTGGGTTAGGTTAGGCTATGTTGGGCTGGGTTGGATTGGGTTGGGCTAGGTTAGGTTAAGTTAGGTTAGGTTAGGTTAGGTTAAGTTAGGTTAGGTTAGGTTAGGTTAGGTTAGGTTAGGTTAGGTTAGGTTAGGTTAGGTTAGGTTAGGTTAGGTTAGGTTGGGCTGGGTTGGGTTGGGTTGGGTTGGGTTGGGTTAAGTTAGGTTAGGTTAGGTTAGGTTAGGTTAGGTTAGGTTAGGTTATGTTGTGTTGGGCTGGGTTGGGTTGGGTTAGGTTAGGTTAAGTTAAGTTAGGTTAGGTTGGGTTGGGTTGGGTTGGGTTGAGTTGGGTTGGGTTAAGTTAGGTTAGGTTAGGTTAGGCTGGGCTGGGCTAGGCTGGGCTGGACTGGGCTGGGCTGGGTTAGTTTAGGTTAGGTTGGGGTAGGTTAGGTTAGGTTAGGTTGGGTTGGATTAAGTTGGGTTGAATAATTTGGTTAATAGGTAACAGTAAAATGCCGAGAGAAAAAAAAGTAGCTTTAATCTATACATTATAATCATAAATGGATCTTTGATATCATAAAGATGCAAAAGGTAAGGTAACCGCCATTTATTAACACCTACGTAATTTTGTAATATAAGACGTACATATGACTGATCTACAATATAAATTGAAAATTGTATCAAAGTTATGCTTGTAGACAATAGATTTGAGAAAAATAAAATCAAAAGTTTTCATCGGCAGCTAACATTTTTTTTTTCGAAGAAATAGAATTCATCAGTCCACTAAGTTTATCAATTTATTTGTCATATAATTTAACTTTGATGGGCCACCGAACCTAAAGTATGCCCTCTCAGGTCTAACTGATTGTGAAAATAAATGATTACCTTGGCACATTCCATTGTCAAAATAAAATAAATATTATCCCGCAACAAAATATATTAGCATCACAAACCCAAAATTCTAGAAAGATCGCCAAATATTTCCAATATCTTTTGCTTTACATTTAGTATACAGATTTAACACCGCTGTGACCCTATTTCCCTGTTTCAAATCGTATTTCTGAGGTCTGCTACTACTAGCAATTGTTCGGACTCTTGATAAGAAGATATTTTCAAGGGGTGTGCGACTTACTTCTAATACTTATTTATCTATTTTATTTTTTCTTAATCTAACAAACCTATAATCTTATGTTAAGATCTTGACGTTATTAATTTGCAGTGGTATATATCACTGACTATATATTTTTAAAAGCATGCAAAAGTACAAACAAAAGTCCCAGAGGTGCGTGATAGTTAAAGTCTGGGATCCACTGTTATAGAGGACAGCATATACATATTTTTTTGCTGGAATTAGTTTGGAGTTTAATAATTATTCGCTCTAAATTGATTGTATTCTATGATTACGGTGAACATTTTGGCAAATAAACGGATCTAGTACAAAATACTGCCATGAGTCACTTAAAATACGTGGATGTGAAACTGGATCTCTAATAAATCTTATAAATACTAAGCTCACCTGAAGTGGCCCGTCCCATATAACATCACACTATCTATAAGAAAATATATTAATCAGTACTATCCACTATTACTACTAGAAGTTCACATCATTATAGCAGAAAGAGACAATAGTTCTAATGAAGGAAGTATAAAGATGAT